CTTGGTGCCGCATTGCTGCTAACCACTGACTCATTCAACGACCAAACCACGATTCGAAACGCTTTGGGGGGCGTCCAGGAACCATCTTGGGTCGTCATGGGGCATTCATCGGGTCGGCATGCGGTCCTGCTATGTCGTCTTTGGGCTCTCTTGGACTTTCTGGTCTCCTCTCGGCTTGTGATGGTGCAATGTTCAGTGCCTCTTGGGCGGTCTCGGAAGCCCTGAAGACCGAAGATCAGAGTACCCCACAACCATGCGAAAACCATTGGAACAACACCACTTTCGAGACTTGGATGGCTTCTTGGGGGTCTTCGTTTGGCCGTCTTCGGTTGTCGTGGGGGTGTCTCTGGTCGCTTGGGGCTCTCGAGTGCGAAACATGACTGTGAGTGTGCCCGGCTTTGTAAGTTTGAAAAATGTGTCCTGATCTGGGCGTTTGGAAGAAGGGTGGAGGAAGTTCGCCCGGACTTGAGAGTATGAAAGCAGTTTGACAAAAAATGGAACGTTCGAACCAATGGGACACAAACTCTGGGATTTGAAATCCTGAAAACAATTCGAAAACGTGTGAACACCACCGAACACATTGTGCCACAACATTCTGAAACCACCTTGAAACATGTGCCCAACAAAGTTCGAAACAGTTTGAACAATGCATGACAGCATTTGACAAATTTTGGACGTTTGGGGAAACTGCAAACAAGTTAGAACAACGTTCGCCCGGATTGAGAAACATTGAATGAAACGATTGAAGACAGTTTGAGAAACTGGGAACAAGTTGAAACAGTTTGAAAAAAACAAGCAATCGCCAGGATCTGCAGACTTGAACAACGTGTGCAAACACTGTTATCGCAAATGGATGAAGTTTGGATGTTCGCTTCACAATTGCTCATACTTGTTTCATACTTGCGAGTGTCCTCTGACTCACTCACGTACTTCCGCATTGCTTTGGTTACACATGTTTGGCATACTTCGAATACCCCGCACCTGGCCACCGGTTTGCTTGCTCGGGGCGACACGCCTCTCGAGTGGCAGGAGCGCCCAAGAAGCACTGAAGGCCCAGGGGACCCCCTGCAAGGGCGCTCAGGGGGTCCCAAGGACCAGGGCTCTAGCCGGTCCAACTTTTTTGGAGTCCCGAATCGGTGCGGGAACAGACCGTGCGGTGACCACGGAACCACAAGAAACCTCACCGCACGGTCCGTCACCGCACGGTCTTGGGACCCTGGAGGCCCCTGTCGCCCGAGACATCCTCGGAGAGGAACTCGAGTCCCAAAACCGTGCGGTGACCCCGAATCCCCACCGACTCACCGTACAAGGTGGTCAGCGCCCCGTTTGGGGACTCCCGAGTTCTGGGGGGGGGTGGGGACTTTCTGTAGACCCCACCCGGGCCACGATGCTTTCACTCGGGGGCTCTCCCTCGGCTCTTGCACGATCGGGTGGGTGTGCCGAGGAAGCGCCCCGTGGCCGCCCGTGCCCGACCGTGGCCCCTCGTCGTCGCCGCTCGTGGTCGCCGCGTGGGTGCGTCGAGGGTGCGCCCCGTGGCCGCCCGTGGCCCCTCGTGGTCGCCGCTCGTGGTCGCCGGGCGGGTCCGCCGAGGATGCACCGCGCAGCTGCCACCAGCACGGACTGCACCACACGGCCTGCACACCCGCCCTGCCACAACTCACTGGCTGGGGCCCACGCTGGCACGCATCGGACCCAGACGCGCACAGATAAGAACGAGGAGGAGGAGGAGGAGGAGGAGGAGGAGGAGGAGGAGGACGGGGAGGAGGAGGAGGAGGAGAGAGGAGGAGGAGGAGGAGGAGGAGGAGGAGGGACCTCCCTACGTGTGACTGGGCGCTCGACGGGCAGGGCACAATCTCTGCGCCAGCACGCGGGCCGCAGGAGGCGCTCGACGGGCGCCTCTGCCGTGGCCGAGCCGTGGCCTCCCCTTCCCCCGCCGAGCGCCCTCGCTCGGGGCACCGGCGCTCCAGGCGCAGCGCCGCAGGCCCCTGCCGCCGCGGGGTGCGCGCCGCCGAGGATCCCCAGGCCCTCCTCTCTCCTCTCTCCTCCCTCCTCCCTCCTCCCTCTCCCTCCCTCCTCCCTCCCTCCTCCCCCCTCCCCCCCCTCCCCCCCCCCCCCCCCCCTCCTCCCTCCTCCCTCTTCCTCCTCCTCCTCCTCCCCCTCCTCCTCCTCCCCCTCCTCCTCCTCCTCCTCCTCCCGGTGCGGCTGCGGGGGGGGGGGGGCCGATCGGGCCCCCCGCTTCTCGGAGGCGCCAGCCCCGTCTATACCCTGGGCGCGAGGGAGGAGGCGCAGGTGGTGGCGCGAGGAGGCGGGCGAGGGGTGCCGCGCATGGCTGCAGCTGGAGCCTCCGGAGGGCTCCCTGGGGGGCGTCTCTATCTTGGAGGCCAAGTTGAGCCTTTTGGAGGACCCTCGGGGGCCCTCTGGGGGGCTCGAGGGGCCATCTAGGTGGGCTTTCTTGTGGCCCTCTTGAGGGGCTGTTTTGGGCCGTCTTGGGGGGGGCCCTGTGGCTGTCGTTGGGCCCTCTTGGGCCGTCTTGAGGCCTTCTTGGAGGCATCTTGGGGTCGCTTGGGTTGTCGTGCCCGCTGTCAACACGTAACATGCGAATGTGCTGAAGATGTACGTTCTCTCACAGGAATCGGATGGTTTGGTTTCCTCTTGTTGACCTCTCGGCGATCCTCTGGAGGCGCTTTTGGGCTGTCTTGGGGCCTTGTGGGCCATCTTAAAGCCATCTTGGATCGTCGTGGGGCTACCCTGGGCCAACATGACGCTCTCTTCGACTGTCTTGGCTCTCTGTCTGGGCCCTGTTGGGCTGCCTTGGGGCTTTCTGTTGGCTCTGGAGGCCCGGGGTGTGCGTTGACGAGCTCGTCCCCCCACCCTTCCCCCCAACCTCCACTTGAATGGCATTTTGGACCCCCCTGGCGCCCGGGGCCACCGCCCCCCAGAAGGCGACGCCGCCGGCTTCGAGTCAGGCGGCATGCAGGCTCCGGCGAGCGACCAGGGGAGGTCAGCAGCCGGGGCTCCTGGCGCAGGCGGCGGCGGCGGCGGACTCGACGGGAGCGGCCGCAAGCGGCGAAGCTGGCCACGTCGGCCCTGCGGTTCGCCGGGCTTCGGGGCTAAGGCCGAGGTGGTCCCCGAGGGCGTCCTCCTCTGGTGGGCTCCCTGAGTGAGCCTCGCGGCGGCTCGGAGGAGTCGGCGGACGCGGGGGGGTCCGGCTCGGAGTCGGTGGCCCCGACACGTCCTGGTAGGGCTCATTACCAGCCTGGAACGTATCCCTATCCCTATGTTCGGCATCGCCTCATCACGATGGCGATCTTAGGGATTCCCTCAGTTTCTGAGGGTGCATCCCTAAGATTGTCATCGCCTTTTGGCGTGTCAATCTCAGGGATAGGGATAAGTTCGAGGCTGGTGAGCTCAGGCAGCCCCCGCGGGCGGTGGGCAGACACCGAGGACGGAGGCGCTGATGCGGCGGTGCGCGGTGGCCACGCCTCCCTGGCAGCAGCCGCTGCGGGTCCAGGGCGGCGAGCGCGGCAACGGCAGCCCTCGCCCGCGGTCGCCGTTGGGCGAGTTCGCCATCGAGGGCGAATGCGACGCCCTCGACCCCCTCCCTCCCGGGCCTGCTGGCACGGTCGAGGTCGAGGTCGAGGTCCTCCCTGCCTGTGCATCCCCACGGGGGGCGTAAGCGCAGGCAGCTCCAGCGGCGGCCTCGCTGGCCCGGAGCTCGCGGAGCTGCTGGGCCAGGTGGCGCCCGGCATCGAGGCGCGCGGCGTGCTGCCGCGCCGCCGCTGGGCGTGAGCGGGGCCTCCTCCGGCGCGGACGCCCCCCGCGTGCCCTCCCCCCCAACCTTCCCCTCCCCCCCTCTCGCTCCCGCGCGGCCTCGCTTCCCTGCGTCCGTCGTCCGTCGCTCGTCTGTCGCGTCGTGCCACTGGGTGCCACTGGGCTCCGCCTGCGCTCGCCAACAACAAGGTCCCGCCCGTGGCCCCTCGTAGGCGCCGCTCGTGGTCGCCGGGTGGGTGCGTCGCGGATGCACCGCGCAGCTGCCACAGCACAGATTGCACCACGCGGCTTGCGCATCTGCGCTGCCAGAGGTCACTGGTTGGGCCCCACGCTGGCAAACACGGGATCTAGATTTGCGGATGCCACGACAATGAACACCCGAACAGTCCGATCATCGAATTAAACATGTGTTTAAAATGTCGGAAGAATCTCATGAAAAGGTTTGACACCTATTTTCTTTACACTTTTAAGCAGCTTTAACACAAATTTAGAGACGTGGAAATTATTTGGCAATATGCTTCCTCTCCATTGGCCGTCCTCCACAAGTCGATATGCGCACAAGAACATACCCTTCCTTCGTGTGACTGGGCGCTCGAAGGGAAGGGTACGGTCCGCCGACGCGAGGCCGTCGCACACCGAAGACTGGCCCTATCTGTACACCCCACCGTACGCTGGCCCTCGCACGTGCGCGTTGGCGTGTCAACGTGCACGTGTGACGTCGTTGCGTGGTTCTTTCGGATTTGGGCCCGCCACGGCGGTTCATGGACGGCATCGCCAAGACGCGTCACGAAGCGCGGGGAAGAGGGGAAGATGGGCAGGAGGGAGAGGGGGAGGAAGAGGGGGGCCCCGCCACCATGGAGCGAGGCACGCGCGGTTGCCGTCGATCCGAGCCACCAGCCTGCAGACTTGCGCGGTTCCCCCCCCCCCCTGCCTCCTGCTCGCCCGGGATGGTGTCCGAGCCCCTCCCCCCAGCATCGTCTGATGGGCGTGTTTTCCACCACCACCACCATAAGTTGGAGGGGGGAGGAGGAGGAGGACGAGGAGAAGGAGGACGAAGAAGAGGAGGAGGAGGACCCCCTCCCCCTCCAACTGATGGTGGTGGTGGTGGAAAACAGGCCAATCATCGTCCGTTCGACCTGGGTCGGGGCTGCCGCAGCGGCAGGGGGGGCCGCCCGTCGAGGCCGAGTCCGACCGATCTCCGCTCCCAGGATGGCAGCCGAGCCCCCTGCCCCGAGCTCGTCCAGCCACTCGCCCTGATTGGCGGCGCGCTGGGAGCGTATTTCTTGAGCGCTCGGGTGGGCGCCTCTGGCCAATCATGATCTCCCGCTCTCTCTCAATCTCTCTCTCTCTCTCTCTCTCTCTCTCTCTCTCTCTCTCTCTCTCTCCTGAACGCAGCTCTGCATTGTCGGATGTGCAGTCTTTCCTCTGTGTGATCTTCTCTCTTATTCTGATACGTCTCCCTACCATATCTACGCAGCACCCCGCAGATGCGGATAAGAGTGAGGGGCGGTGGGGACGTAAGCAGTTTACGAGACTCTGAAGAAGCCCGCCGCAGGCGCCACAGTTTCACGAATTATACAACGAGCCCACCGCAGGCGCCGATTTTTTCGCTAAACCAATGCGGTTAGGTCGCGGGTGGGTCGCAAATGGGTCGCGGGTGGGTCGCGGGTGGGTCGCTGTTGGGTCGCAGGTGGGTCGCGAGTAGAGGGCAGAACATCAATCCCCTAATAATCACCCCGACGTGCGAAGCCGTTGAGTAAACGCACACAAGGCAAGAACCGAACAGGGCAGGGCTGTTTAGTCAACGCCCAGGGCTGTTTAGTAAACGTCAATTGTCGGGTCCGGGTGTTTTTTCCTCCCTCGAGGGTGGGTCGCGGAATGGGTCGGTCGCGGGTGGGTCGCGGAGTGGGTCGCGGGTGGGTCGCGGGTGGGTCGCGGGGTGGGTCGCAGGTGGGTCGCGGGGTGGGTGGCGGGTGGGTGGCGGGTGGGTGGCGGGTTCGTCGCGGGTGGGTCGCGGGGTGGGTCGCGGGGTGGGTCGCGGGGTGGGTCGCGGGTGGGTCGCGGGGTGGGTCGCGGGGTGGAACGCGGGGTGGGTCGCGGGGTGGGTCGAGGGGTGGGTCGTAGGTGGGACGACGACAACAACAAACAGCAACAACAACACCAACACCAACACCAACAACAACAACAGCAGCAACAACAACAATATCAACAACAGCAACACCAACAACAATCAAGACAACAACCACAACAACAACAACAACACCACCACCAACAACAACAACAAGAACAAGAACAAGAACAACAACAACAACAACAACAACAACAACAACAACAACAACAATTACTAGCACGTGGGGACACTCCGTTCTCACCAGTGCCAGGGTTTTCATAGGAGGCGGGCAATACCCCCACTTTGTGGGGGGGCCGGTTCAAGCTCTACCAAATTTCCAAACGACTCTTCGCCACCACCCACACCCAGCTTCCCGCCCTATGACGTTCGGACACTTCACTTCGTGGCATGCGGACGACCGTGGCTACTATTCAGGCCCCGCGGCCGACGACGACGGCGTGCGCGCGCGAAGAAAAAACGAATGTGTCCCGCATGGTATTATTTGACAGGGATGATGGCCCTGGCAGGTGCGCAACCGTTGTCGCAGAAGTTCGAAAAAGTTGCTCGCAAAAGCCCGTTTGACAGAAATGTTTAAAAAGTGTTGGGTTTCCTACGAATCCGCAAGAGCGCGCGGGATGAGATTTTGACATTTTTTTGTTGAAAAACCATTGGTTTTTTGATGTTTTTATGTTAAAATCGCTCCGAACACTAAGCTTTTGGAAGGATTTCGTCTTGCGCGCGCGAATGTCCACTTTACCTTATTTTTTGCAAGGGATTCTTGAAATTTGATTATATTAGAACAAGAAATGTCATTTTATAGTGTTTTTTGCAAGGGAAAGCGGGGGGGAACAAAACAACCGGATCTTGATCACATCGAATTACCTGAGGCTTCCTCACGAAAATGATGAAAATGTAGCTGCGGCCTAGGCGGCGCAGGGGGGCCGTGCACCAGGGGTCCCAACAATAATTATTCTTTAGAATTAATAATGTTCAACAACAACAACATCAACAACACCACAAACAAACACAACAACAACAATATCAACGCAACAAGCAGAATTCTCACCACGAATTCTTTATTCAGCCACGCACCCAGGGACAATGAATGACCATTCGGCCCCCTCACCCTGATCATTATCTCGCTCTCGCGCTCTCTACTACTTCTGTACACATGTGCATGTGACGGTGATCGGAAATCCTGTCCCTCAATCTCTCTGCTCGGTCTATCGGCCTCCCGCTCCCTACTTTGTTCTGGTCCTGCTCTGTTTACACAATCTAAGATCTGAAGTCGCCCTGCCCTCTATTCTTCAACATCTGCTCTCTATCCTCTCTTCTGCTTAACTCTGACCTCTACCATCTGATGTTATTTCTAGTCTCTGTTCTACAATCATTGTTTCTGATCGCGCGAAGGCCTGGCTAAACTCGAATCCAAAGACCTTACCTTGCCGGGAGCCCGGGACCCGGGGAACAGACCCCGGGAACCAAGACCGGACTTGTGAACCGGGTCGCCCACCGAAATCGGCCCAGCTACTTGTTCAAGGACCCTTTCGGTGGAAGCGCAGATTCGGGAACTTATCTCTGCTTGCTCACGCTTTACGTTGTACTCTTTATCTCTCACTGTCTCACTGTCTTGTCTGTCATTGCATGCAGCAAATTATGTAAATGCACATAAATTTGCAAATGATAATGGAGAAGACTCAATATAAGTCATGTTAGGGCTATAGGGCTGTGGGGCTACTGGGCAATAGGGCGATGGGGCTATGGGGCTACAGGGCGATGGAACTATAGGGCTATAGGGCTGTAGGGCTATATGTCTACAAGGCTATAGGGCTATAGGGTCATAGGGCTATACGGCTGTAGTGCTATATGGCTCTGGGGCTATAGGGCTATAGGGCCATAGGGCTATGAGTCTTTAGGGCTATGGGACTATTGGGCTATAGTACCATACGGCGATAAGGCTATAGGGATATAGCGCTACGGGGCTACAGGGCTATAGGCATGTAGAGCTATAGGGCTATAGGGCTATGAGGTTATAGAGCTATAAGGCTATACGACTATGAGGCTATAGGGCTACAGGGCTATAGGGCTGTAGAGCTACAGGGCTATAGGGCTATGGGGCTATAGGGCTATTGCGCTATAGGGCTACATTGCGATAGGGCTATAGAGCTATAGGGCTATAGGGCTATCGGGCCACAGGGCTAAAGGGCTATAGAGCTACAGGGCTCTAGAGCTCTAGGGCTGTAAGGCTGTAAGGCTATTGGGCTGTTGGGCTATAGGGCTATAAAGATAGTGGGCTACAGGGCTATTGGGCTATGGGGCTATAGGGCTGTAAGGCTATAGGGCTATAGGGCTATATAGGGCTATCTAAGGCTATAGGGCTATAGGGCTATAAGGCACCCGGGCACCCGTGCACCCGGGCACCTGGGCACCCAGGCACCTCCAGCGGGCCGCGGAAATCAGTGACACGCCTCACCTAACCATATGCACAAGAAGAACCCCAATCTGACTTTTCTTAGGGCTGTAGTGCTGTAGGGCTATAGGGCTATCAGGCTATAGGTCTGTAGGGCTGAAGGGCTATAGGGCTTTAGGGCTATAGGGCTATAGGGCTTCATGTGCTACTGGGCTATTGGGCTATGGGGCTATAGGGCTATAGGGTTATAGGGCCGTAGGGCTATAGGGCTATAGGGCTATAAAGCTAAAGGGCTGTAGGGCTGTAGGGCTATAGGGCTATAGGGCTATAGGGCTATAGGGCTATGGGGCTATATGAGCTATAGGGCTATATGGGCTATATAAGGCTATAGGGCTATAAGGCGATAGAACACCTGGGCAACTGGGCACCTGGGCACCCGAGGGCACCTCCGGGAACCTGTGGGCACCTCTGGGCACCTCCGGGCATCCGGGCACCTCCGGGCACCCCGGCACCCCGGCCAGGCCACCGAAATCGACGACGTACTGTGATGCCCCAGGCAGTTGTTGTGAGTTATTACACATGTAAGCAACATATAAAAGAAGAGCGCATGCTATATGTTGGTTAAGGGGCATGTTATACGTATGCTATACATACTCTTATCGTACGTAGTAACCTAGATATTAAGTTGCTTAATTTGACATGGTTGCACGCTGTCTGCGATTTGTGGTGCGATGTGATATTTGTGTTTGGTGCGGTTTGACAGTTGTTGCTGTTTTTGTTTGTTTTTGTTTGTTGTTTTTGCCGTTTTGCTCGGGATTGACGTTTCAATGGTTTACCGTTTCGTTTTAGTGGAAAGGTTCACTCGTCGTCCTCATCCTCCCCCACCCCGCCTAACACTCGTCCCACTCCTTGTTTCGGCGGGTCAACCGCCTTGTCCCCAGCCCCCCCCCGCCCCGCCCCCCCATCCGCTTTTCCCATCATCACTCGGCGGATCAACCGCTTCCCCCCCTCCCCCCCTCCCCCCGCCACCTCTTCTTGTCTACCTCGATCTCCTTCGGCGGATCAGCCGCCACCTTCTTCACCCTCTGTTCCTCCAATTTCTGCGTCGGCGGATCAACCGCCTCATCCGTCTCCCCCCTCCTTCGGCGGATCAACCGCCCCCTTCATCCACCCCCTCTTCCTCCTATTTCTTCTTCGGCGGATCAACCGCCTCCTCCGTCTCCTGCGTCATCGGCGGGTCAACCGCTTCCTCCTCTCCCCCATTCCCTCGAGTCTTATGATGAGGAGGAGGAAGAACATGTCGACGCAGCCGTTTTTGGCCCACGCCTGCAGCCGCCTGCTGCCCCCCCCTTTCGGCCGCGCGTCGGCCGTCCCCGCGTGCTGCCCCTGAGCTCGATGGCGCTCCAACGGGAGCTCCTTCAGCGCGCGGAGGGGGTGCAGGAGCTGCTGCGCGCTGCCTCGGCCCAAGGCGAGCCAGCGTGGAAGCAGACGTCGGGTGCGCAGGCGGCTCGGTTGGTGGAGCTGGTCGGCTTGGTGCGCCCCCAGGGCCAGCTTCTCATCCGCCTCGTGGGCCTGGTGCAACGCAGCAGCTTCTGTCCCGCCGACGCCCAGCAGCTGGAAGCAGCCTTTGCAGCGGCCGCCACGAGCAAGAGCAGCGGGACGTGGAAGGCGCAGGACTACACGCACTTCCCCTACTACTTGAGTGCGGAGGTGTGGGCCACAGTCATCTCGTCCAGCGGGGACGCGTTGCAGAAGGCTCGCACAGTGCTCACCTTCCTCGTGCTGCTGGGCATGAAGAAATGTTCTGAGGGCACCCACGCGTACGTGACAGCCCTGAGGGCCCGCGCGATGCCCGTCCACTTTCTGAGGGAGACGTTCAAGCAGGTTATTAACCTGCTTGAACGTCTCCCTCAGAGCAAGGGGATGTGCAGATGTGGAAGGGGATGTGCAAGGCAGAGCCCCTTGAGATGGTGCCCTCGCTTCCAGCGGACCCCCGTGAGTTCCGAGCCATGCACCCCGCCACGTGGAATGCTGCGTTCGGCGACGGGCTTCCTGCCGCCATCCAGGTTTCGTTCGTGGACGTCACTGCCGTGGCTCATTCATTCAAGCCCTGGCGGGACAGGGGCGCGAGCTCGATGCCAGATGCGTCGGAGGCAGGCGTGTTGGGTAAGATTTCGCATGCGCTCGCAGGGCAGGCGCGCTCGCAGGAGAGACTCTCAAATGGCGCTACGTTGACGATGACTGGGGGGAGGCAGCAGCGCAGCCTCCTTGGCCTGCAGGCGGCGGCGGCCAGCGTGGAGCAGCAAGCGGTGGCGGACTTCCAGCAGCGGCAGCAGGACCACCACCAGGATCTGCAGTTGCAGATTAAGCAGCTCCAGGAGCACCTGCACAAGCAGCAGCAGCAGCAGCACCCGCAGCAGCCGCAGCCCCTCGAGGATGGCGTTCCGGATGCGGTGGCGACGGGTGCGGCCGCAAAGGGCGGGATGGCCGTCGAAGATGCGGCCATTCACGTGGCGGCTGCCATGTCGAAGGAGAAGGAGGCCAAGACCGCCAAGAAACGCCCAGCAGCAGCCCCGTCCGCCCCGAAGGCGGCCAAGGCGGCCAAGACGTCCGTGGCGGCCACGACGTCCAAGACGTCCTGGGTCAGCGTCGAGGGGACTCGTTCCCAGTGCGTCGGGCACTATGGCAAAGGCCCTGGCTCGACCAAGACGTTCAAGTGGGACGATGGCGTCGCGAAGGAGCAGTCCAAGGCAGCCGCCGAGAAGTGGCTGAAGCAGCGGGCGAAAGCCGACAAGTGACCAGGAGGCTGAAGGCCGTCGCTGGCGCGTGGCGAAGGCTCGCGGGTGAGCCTGCACAGCATTTTCGTATTTTAGTTCCCAACCATCCTGTGGTGTTGGGTCCTCGTTTTGAAGAGACGGTGCCCCGCGTTCCTCTCCTCTCCTCTCCTCTCCTCTCCTCTCCTCTCCTCTCCTCTCCCCCTCCTCCCTCGTGCCCGCGCCCGCATGCGTCAGCCACACCTATTTCGGCACACCCCTCACACGTTTCGTGGCTCCATAGGGAGCTCCACCGAAGGCCCCAGTGCCCGCGCCCGCATGCGTCACCAACACCCATTTCGGCACACCCCTCACACGTTTCGTGGCTCCACAGGGAGCTCCACCGAAGGCCCCAGTGCCCGCGCCCGCATGCGTCACCCACACCCATTTCGGCACACCCCTCACACGTTTCGTGGCTGCCATAGGGAGCTCCACCGAAGGCCCCAGTGCCCGCGCCCGCATGCGTCACCCACACCCATTTCGGCACACCCCTCACACGTTTCGTGGCTCCATAGGGAGCTCCGCCGAAGGCCCCAGTGCCCGCGCCCGCATGCGTCACCCACACCCATTTCGGCACACCCCTCACACGGCTCCATAGGGAGCTCCACCGAAGGCCCCAGTGCCCGCGCCCGCATGCGTCACCCACACCCATTTCGGCACACCCCTCACACGATAGGGAGCTCCGCCGAAGGCCCAGTGCCCGCATGCAGGTTTCGTGCCCTCCACCGAAGGCCCCAGTGCCCGCGCCCGCATGCGTCACCCACACCCATTTCGGCACACCCCTCACACGTTTCGTGGCTCCATAGGGAGCTCCACCGAAGGCCCCAGTGCCCGCGCCCGCATGCGTCACCCACACCCATTTCGGCACACCCCTCACACGTTTCGTGGCTCCATAGGGAGCTCCACCGAAGGCCCCAGTGCCCGCGCCCGCATGCGTCACCCACACCCATTTCGGCACACCCCTCACACGTTTCGTGGCTCCATAGGGAGCTCCACCGAAGGCCCCAGTGCCCGCGCCCGCATGCGTCAGCCACACCCATTTCGGCACACCCCTCACACGTTTCGTGGCTCCATAGGGAGCTCCACCGAAGGCCCCAGTGCCCGCGCCCGCATGCGTCACCCACACCCATTTCGGCACACCCCTCACACGTTTCGTGGCTCCATAGGGAGCTCCACCGAAGGCCCCAGTGCCCGCGCCCGCATGCGTCAGCCACACCCATTTCGGCACACCCCTCACACGCTTCGTGGCTCCATAGGGAGCTCCACCGAAGGCCCCACTGCCCGCGCCCACATGCGTCAGCCACACCCATTTCGGCACACCCCTCACACCTCTCTCTGGTGAGCTCGCCCTTTCTACCATCGCAACTCGCTCGGCTCTCTCTCTCTCTCTCTCTCTCCTTCTCTCTCATCTCTCTTTCTCTCTCTCCTTCTCTCTAAGCTCTCTCTCATATCTCTCTCAATTTCTCGTGACTAACAATTATACTATATCTGCAGGTGTTGAGGTGATCTATCTCTCTCTCTCTCTCTCTGTCTCTCTCTCTCTCTCTCTCTCTCCCTGTCCCTCTGTTCAGACAGCGGGGACCGGCAAACACGTACAGCGCTGCTCAAACAAACGCATGGCGGCGGTGCCGCTCCCCGTGCGCCTCGCAGGCCGGCGGGCCGGGCAGCATGCGGAGCAGCTCTCCTGCGCGCGCCGCGCGGGCGCCCGGCCCAGGCCCACCTACGTGGCGGGCCCGCCTCGCTGGGCGAGGGCGAGTGTCTTGACGTCTCGATCTCCGAACCAGCTCCCCCTCCTCTTGTCCTCGTCGTCTTCCTGCGACTCCTCCTCCTCCTCCTTCTCCTCCTCCTCCGCCTCCTCCTCCTCCTCCTCCTCCTGTTCCTCCTTCCCGTCCTCCTCCTCGTCCTCCTCCTCCTTTTCCTCCTCCTCCTCCTCCTCGTCTTCCTCCTCCTCCTCCTGCTCCTCCTCCTCCTCCTTCTCCTGCCTCCCCTCCTCCTCCTCCTCCTCCTCCTCCTCCTCGCCCTCCTCCTCCTCCTCCTCCTCCTCCTTCTCCTTCTCCTCCCTCCAGGGAGGAGCGCACGCGGCAGGCCCGCACGCGGCAGGCCCAGCGGCCTCTGCAGGATCTCGGTCCTCGGTCCTGGCGAGCCGCCCCGGGGTCGGCCCGCGGGGGGGACCGTCTTTGGATCCGGGGGGCCATCACAGATGCGTCTGGGGCGAGAAGCTGGCGAGCGTTCTCTTCTGCGGCGTTTCGGCAGTGGGCGGACAAGGGAGGGGGGGGGGGGGGCGGTCTGGCTCCAGACCCCTGCGTAGTGCGACGGTTTGCGACAGGGCATCAAATGGAGGAGACCCCACCTGCTCGGAACATGCGCCAAAAAAAGCCAAGATCGACTCCATGGGAGGGGGGTGCGAGGGCCCGCGCCGATCGGCAAAACAGTGAGTCAGAAAACGACGATCACCTGCGCTTTGTGTCGGGGCCAACCTGTTTCACCATTTCCCGCAGCAACTCATTCATGACCGCTCCGTCGAATCCTCTTGAAGAGCGCTGCGTTCCAGGGCCAAGGCAGCTGCAACACCGCACACCGCATCGTGGCAGCTTTTGCATGTTGCGCCCCGCCGCGTTCGATGATGGCTCAAACAAATTGTTCATCGACAGAGAAAGGGTCGAGACCTCTGGGGCTCGCGAGCCGACCGTACGAGCCTTTCACCCCAAGGAGCTCCCAGGAGGCCCCAAGAGGCGCTCGATAAGCCCCCAAGAGTTTCCAAAGAGGCCGAACAAGAAATTTGCCTGATGATTGACCAAACCGCTTGATGAGGGACACCCGCCTTTGCAACGCTGAGTGCAGTAGCATCGAAACAATGCAACAAAGTACAAGCAAGTGAGTGGAATATGGAGAATGTGACAGCGAATACGACTTGTCGAAACACTGTAACAAGGGCACACACATCTTTGAACCATGTCCCACCCCACGGGCCGAGTGCACCCATTATGGTGGGGTGTCTCTTGCCCGGGGACGCGCCTGCCTTAAGGGTTGCAGGCACCCGTGGTCCGTTCCGTCTCCAGCGTGACGCGGGGCAGGCCGACGTTGATACGAACGACACCATTGTTTCCGACGTAAGGAAACACCACGTGTAAAGCGCTCTGTGAGCTTCCTCTTGGCACTGTGTCTGGCTTCAAGCACGGTAGCTGTATTTGCCAGAAGATGTCGAGCCAGGCTACTAAACCCTGACTATCTGGCCTTCACAAAAGAGAAGAAACGACTGCCCCCTCTTTCGTGACATCGTCGGCACCTGGCGGCTTGGCCGCAGGTGCCCTCTTTTCCCTTGAATGTCCGACCCCCCGCCCCCGTGACCAGAGCACTGACTGAAACACAGGACGGCGGAGCCGACTTCGTATCCCGGTTCTCGGGCACCACAATCAGAGCGCACGTGCGAAGCCCACTCTTTGGTAAAGCGACCACTGCTACTACTCTGGCTGATGGGAAAAATGCTGCACCGCCGAGGACGAGCTCTTGGAGAGACTTTCGGCTGATAACCAGAAATTTGCCTGATGATTGACCAAATCGCTTGATGAGAGACAACCGCCTTTGCAACACTGAATACAATATTATCGAAACAATGCAACAAAGTACAAGCAAGTGAATGGAATGTGGAGAATGTGACAACGAAAAACAACTTGTCGAAACACTGTAACAAGGGCACAAGCATCTTTGAATTATGTGCCCACCCCCACGGGCCGAGTGCACCCATTATGGTGGGGTGTCTCTTGCCCGGGGGCGCGCCTGCCTTAAGGGCTGCAGGCTCCCGTGGTCCGTTCCGTCTCCAGCGTGACGCGGGGCAGGCCGACGTTGACACGAACGACACCTTTGTTTCCGACGTAGGGAAAACACCACGTGTAAAGCGCTCTGTGAGCTTCCTCTTGACAGTGCGTCTGGCTTCAAGCACGGTATCTGTATTTGCCAGAAGATGTCGAGCCAGGCTTCTAAACCCTGACTATCTGGCCTTCACAAAAGGGAGGAAACGACTGAAGAGGCTCCCAAGAGGGCAAAGAGAACCCCCAGAACACTCTCATGACATTCCCAAGAAGGCACACTTAATCATGCTCCTGGCATTGTTGCGTGTTTTCGTCGTCGTCACCGTCATCGTCGGCCTCGTCCCCCTTCAGGGTCGACGGCACGCGCCGTAAGGCCTTCGCAAAACATCCGCGGCGAAAAGCTGCTCCTGGGGAAGGGGTCGAGATCTCTGGGGCTCGCGGAATGAAATATTCATCCGTGCGAAGTCTGGTATGGCAGCAGGACCATCCCCGATGACTCTCGCCAATGGCCAGTCTGGCAGCTCTGGGGGAGCCTCAGGTGGGCCTCTGCTCTGCTCTGCAATGCTGCGCCTTGCTTCGTACTGCGCTGATGGTCAGGGATGAGGTCCTCGAAGAACACGGGGGGGCTCCTGAAGGGCCCAGGGGGGGGGTCCTTGAGGAACCTGGCCTTGGGACGTCCGAGCCATGCGCAAAAATCATTGGGCTGCTCAGGTACTTCCCCCAAGGTGTATCTAGACCCTACCGTTCCAGATCCTGACCACTCAAGGTCCAAAACACAAGGGATCCAAGAAGGCCCAAGAACACCAACATTGGATAGGAGGAAGATGAATACAAAGACCCGTCCAACCCCGACCCACCCCCCTGGCGACATGATAAAGTAATGACTGGCGGCTGCGGGCAGGCCATGCCGGGCCCCCAACGGAACCTTCTCAGATGGGCCTGCCACGAAAAATACCATCAAGGTGGGCTCGGAAGCTCCAGAGACTCGGTGTCGCTCTTTTCGTCTATGGGCTGCGAAAGTGAAGCGCAGCTCGCGGAGCTCAACAAGACCTTAAAACGACGTCTGTGAACCAACCGACACTGCTGAACGTTTTGTATTTATCCTACCTGCCTCCCTGTGTAATGTTGCTGTACATCACTCACTGGTGCTCAACACATCGTCGACTGAGAGGCGCTTCTTCGGGGGCGCGGGTCTAGCGGCTGGCTTACCGAACCATATGGTTCCCACGACCTTCTCGTCCACGGGGATGTCGGCAACGGCGTTGAACCGCTCGTGGAAGTTGACTGGTCCAGTAGTCCACTTCGTGCCGAGCCCCTCAGAATGCAATGACAGGCACAGATTCTGGACAGCGCAACAGCAGGCTGCGTAATCCTCCTGCAGAACACTACCTGGCTCGCACGCGGAGGCTCCCGCCCCCACGTCATCCGGGATTTTCTGCGTGACCACCAGCCACCCGGGCATGCCCAGCCAGCGCGCCAACTTCTTCGTTCCTGCCTCTGGCCCCTTCTAGAGGAACAAAAACATCATAAACACAAACCGTTGGGCATCCGCGCGGATTTCTTCTATCCGCCCTGGACCCCCCACCTGGCGCGCGAAGCGCGCCGGGAGACTCGCTGGAGGCGCTGTCAGGGGCCCAAGCGCCGATCCAAGAAATCCGCGCGAAACTCCGAATGCTTTTTCTGGGCGAGGACAACAGTCCCCACCCCCACCACGGAAACGTTGGCCCCGCAAGGCAATCTCCCCCCCCAGGTGGCGATGGGTACCGCCTCCTTCGAGTTTCGGAGCGCCCATCTCCACGTAGAGGGGGCACGCTGGGAGAGCCAAACTCACCCTGCCCAGGTGGAGGTGGGGATGACTCCCACGATATGACTTATGCCTACGCAAGTGTTTGCTCTTCGACCTTTGAGGCCGTCACCAGCTCGGCGTTCAGCATGCAGACGCGACGGTCGGTGGCGACGATGGGAGCGAGTAGCCCAGGGGAGAGCAATAAATAGTCCGTGCCGATGGCGAGGCTCCCGGCGAGTGGTGCAGTAGCCGATGGTCCATGCCTTCGGCGAGGCTCCCCCGGCGCGAATGTGTGTACAGCATCGCCCCTGGGGCTGCTCGCCCTCATCGTCGCCGCCGGGACGGACGCACGCCTTGCCCAGCAGGTGGAACCGCCAGGGCTCCGTGCGGCGGTGGTTCGGGGCGTAGCACGCCGCCTCCACCGCCCGGCGCACGGCCGCCTGCCAGCCCGCGGGCAGCTCCGGCTCAAAGGAGCCCACCGTCCGCCGCCCGAGGAGGTTCGACCGGACGAAGAATCGCCCGAGCCAGGCCGCCACCCGACGGTCCGGGCGCCAGGCGGCGGCCGCCACCCGGACTCGCTCCTGAGGGGAAGACGACAGGGGAGACCGGCTCGGGCGGGAGGGCGCACCTGGCGCCCGAGTCGGCGATGCATCTCAGACGCATCGACGACGGGCCCTACGGAGAGCGAAACCGCATGCGCCTGGGCGGGGTGGGGCTATCGGTCCGCGATCGGCGATGCATGGGCGATCCAGGGTCGATGCACCCCCCCCTCAGCCTGGCTCCCCCGCCCTCCTTTCCCGGAGCTCCGCGGGGGCGGGGCGACGCCCAGTCCCCAGGCTTCGCTGCACGCGCCCTGCGTGGCCCGCGAAGGGCGCCGCGGGAACGCAGGCCGCACACGCCGCGAGCAGGGGCGGCAGCCCTGCGAGCAGACGGGGTCGTCCGGTCCTGCCAGTGCTGGCCGAGGGCCTTGCCATCGCGGGCCTTCTCAGCCGTTCGAGCCCGCAAGCCCGGTTTGATCCCAGATGGCCAAGGTCGGGGCTGTGACTCTGCACGATGAGGGTGTCAGGGGTTCGACTCCATCAAGTCGGC